TTCAAATTCTTGTGGTTCTGATTGCCGACAAGCCGAACAAATTTTGTTTTCTTTTCTATCCTTACAACTTTGGCATGAATCACCTTTTTCTACTTGATTATTACAATCAAAAAATCCGCATTTTCTTGTCATATAATATATATTTACTTCTTTTATTTTACTTCTTGTCGTATTTTCTTATTCTAAAACAATCCATTAATCCTAAAATATAGGGCTCATTATCATTCACACATCACACTAACTTATAGGATTTAACTCCTTTATATGAAATAGCAAAGTAATAAGTATACTGATAATTACGACCATCGGCTCTAATATCTTCCTCGCCGTTTAACTGAGGAAGTAATATTTTTCTAATCAAATCATCGGTAATCAGTTTTTCGGCTAGTTCTTTCTCTGATAATTCAATTCCTTCTCTTTCTAATTTCTCTAAATATTCCTTATTGTGCTTTTCATAATAAGGACTGATTTCTAATTTAGTGAAGTGCTGACCGTCAATAATCAAATCACACTTATAAGGTCTTAAATTAGTGGGCTTTTGCGGCGGCTTTTTCTCAGGCATATTTGCTGTTAATTTTCACTTCCAAAGGTGCGGCCAATCCTTCCGCAAAGTTCATTAATTCCTCCAAGTTTAGTTTATCAATATGACAAAATAAAATCTTTTCTACTTGGGCGTGGGTAATTCCTAACTTTTTGGCTAATTCTTGCTCGGAAAGTTTATTTTCTCTTTCGTAGCGAGCAATTGTTTTACAAAGTTTATATTTAGTTTTCTCCGCCGCGGTGGCGTTAGGAGGCAAAAGAAGATTAGTCCTTTTGTCGCTTTTTTGGGCTCTTTTAACTACTCTTTCAAATTCCTCTTGGGGAGGGAAAACTGAGCGATTATTATTTTTTACCATATTATTCTTTAATTAATTAGTTTTTTATTAATTAATTAATAAACTATTTCCTTTTTTATCTTTAAACTTTCGGGCTACTCGCACTTTCATTTTTTCGACTTTATCATCTTTTTTCTTTTCCGTCTCTTGAAAACCAATTTTGGTAGTTTTCTTTTTATCCTCCAATCAATAAGCCACATTAGAGATATGAAGCGGGGTCATTATTTCTTTTAATTCACTTTTTTTCTTGTTGTCAGGTGTCGATTTGTCGTATTTTTTTCGACTAACTTTTTTTAAGTAAACTACCTGTTTTTTTGGGTCCAAACGGGAAATATAATCAATTGTTCCGCGATGCTTGCCGGTAATAACTTTTACCATATCGCCAGTTTTTAGTTTAATTTTAGGGTTTGACATATTAATTAAATATTTTATTATTTTTTCTGAAACGATATTAATGTTAAAGTTAAGGGAACTAGAAAAAGAAAAGTGGGGCAAAAAAACTAATAAACGCAGTTTTTAAGCCTTCTATAAAACTTCAGGGGCTAAGGAAAAGAGTTTTTTATATCCCCATTGGTCAAATTCGGCTAATAAAGGAACAAAAACACGGGTTCCTACTGGTTCTTTACCATCTTCTTTTACTAAAACTGCATAATTTTTGCTGAATTTTATTCAAGTATTATTTTGACGACGAAAATGGCTTTTAGTAGCCACAATCACCGCGGTTACTATTTGGCTTTTTTTGATATTGGCATTCGGGTCGGCTTTTTTTACAGTTGCTTTCACTAAATCACCAATTCGACTATATCGGCGGTTAGAGCCACCCAAACAGCGAATTACTAATATTTTTTTGGCTCCCGAATTATCAGCCACCCATAAAATTGATTCGTTTTGTAGCATATTAATTTATTTTTTTCTTTTTTCGGCGAAGTGAGAAGACTAAAATGGCGGAAATTATTATTCCCACTGAAATTCCTCCTACTAATCAGAGATATTTATTTCCAGATGAAGAATTATCAGTATTGTTAGAGGTATTTTCAGAATTAATGCCTAATTCTTGGGAAGTTAGTTCATTTTTGCCAAGACTGCTTAAACTATTTTTAATTAGTTGATATTCAAAATTATTAGTTAATTGGTCTTTAGTTATAATTTTATTATTATTCGTAATTACTAATTCACCATTTTTAAAAGATATTTTTTTGATATTGTATTTTTGGAAATACGATTTAATCCATTCAATTTCATTTGTGTCGCTTTCCTGGTTATCAATTGGTAAAGAAGAGCCTTTTATTAACTCTCAAATTTCGGTTCAATCTCTTTTTCCAACTTCAAGACTTTTCCTTCCTCTCAACATACAAATACCTAAATTTCAATGTTGTCGACCAGACTGGTGCCTAACTACCCAATTATTACCACTATTTTCCTTATTGCTTGGCTCCACAATTTTTCACTCTTGGGGATTCTTTTTAATTTCCTTAATCAATTCTTTAACTAATTCACTTTTTACCTCAAAAAATTCTTTTGACGCACAATCAAAATTCTCTAAATTTATCTCCTCGCCGTCAATAACTATCCTCAAAAATCTGTTTTCTCACTCTGTGTAGTTCGATTCACGTAACTTTCAATAATCACTTTCAGCACCGTCATTTTTTAAATATTCGGCATTCTCTAAATAAGCGCTGGGACCAATACATATTTTATCCAAGTTTCGCAATAATTTTTCTTTTATTCGAGCATTATTTTCGCTTGGCTGTTTTTTTTCAGCAAAATATTTTTTCAAGCATTCGGGGTGAAGGTAACCAATAATTTTAGTTTCTGGTGGTGTATTCGCCTTATTTCACTCCGCTATTTGCCCCTCTTCATAGGAGGTTAATTCCCCACAAACTTTACATTTTTTTGGTTTTTGTTTATCGTGATTAAACCGATATAATTCTCCTTTCACACAATCCAAAATATCGTATTCAGCACTGTTCCCTTCAAGTCGATAATAAAAATCATTTCCTTCTTGGTCGCCTTTTTCGTAATCTAATTCAATATTAACACCACACAAAAGATTAAATTTTTCACGGCAGACTTTTTTTAATTTAGGCGAAAGAATTTTAACGTGAAATCCTCCACTTGCCCTATTAATCAACTTTGGAGCAGCAAACGCAAAATCAACTCCCTCCTGATATTCATTTTTAATTTGCTGAATTAGTTCTTGAATTTCTTCAATTACATTATTTTTTTTTGCCATAATGTTATATTATATTATAATTTTATAGTTTATGTTAATGGTTCCTTTTCTTTTTCCTTCTTGATTACTAAAAATTTTTTAGTTTTGGAATACGGGCGACTACTTTTAATTACTACTTTGTCGCCTAATTGTAAATTATGCTCCTCATTATGGGCTTGGATTTTTTTTCTCCTTTTAATGGGCTTATGATATTTAGGGTGTAAGGTGGTAGAAACTAATTCTATCGTGGCTGTTTTAGCACTTTTGAGGCCTATTACTGTTCCCGTAAATGTTTGACTCATATATTATTATTTTTTGTTTTCTTTCTTTACCGAGGGACGACTTTTAGTAAGGAGGCGAGCAATTCCTTTTTTTAACTCCTTTATTTGGTGAGTTTGTACCAATTGCCCCATCTTACTTTTCATTTTTAAGACCATTAATGCGGAACGATATTGAACTAATAATTCTTCTTTTGATAACTTTTTTTTTACTTTTTCGGTTTTTTCTGGATTATTCATTTTTTTCGACAATTTTACATTTGATGGGCAATTTATAACTGACCCTCTTTAAAACTTCATAGGAGGTATCTTTTGGTAGTCCTTGAATTTCAAACATTATGGTTCCCTTTTTTACTACAGCTACTCAACTTTCCACTGAGCCTTTACCAGAACCCATTCTTACTTCGAGAGGTTTTTTTGTTTTTCCTAAGTGGGGAAAAATCCTAATTCACATTTTGCCAGTTTTTCTGACAAAAGGACTGATAACCTTTCTTCCCGCTTCGATTACTCGGTTGCTAATGTAGGCTCCTTCTTGGGCTTGTAAGCCGTAATCGCCAAAATTAACTTCACTGTTTCCTTTCACGTGCCCCTCATACTTTATGATGTGAGAATAGCGATATTTAGTTTTTTTCGGTATTAACATAATTTTTATTCCTTTTTTGTCAGATTTTACCTTTGTAAATTAGCACCTTAATGCCAATTTTTCCATAACTGGTGATTGCTTCGGCTCTTCCGGTATCAATATTGCTGTCAATAGTGCTGAGCGGCATTTTTCCCTGAACAATTTTTTTGGTTTGAGCGATGTCTGACTCGTCTAAACGACCACTAATTTCAATCTTTGCTCCTCTTACTTCTCTTTCACTTGCCAATTTCATTAGTAAAGTTTTGAGGACTTGACGTGAACGAGTTCGTTTTTTTAATTGACTAGCAATTAAGTTAGCAATTGATTGAGCGTGGGTGTAAATTTTTTTTACCTCAATTAAATTTATTTTAACCGCAACTTTGTCATCATTAATTATTTTGTAAATTCCTTTCATTATCTCGGTTAATTTTGAGTTATCTTCTCCTAATACGAGGCTAATTTCTGGTATGTAGAGATAAATAAAAATGTTATTTTTAATGTATTCAATTTTCAACCGGTCAGTATCAGGGAGGAGCAAATGAAGATAATTCCGAATGGTCTGGTCCTTTTGTAGTCAATTAATTTGTTCTTTTCCATTTTTAGTGAAAAAATAACTATTCCATACTTGGTTATAACCTAAACGGATCGCATAAGGACTTGCTTTCTGGGCCATATATTATTTTATTTTAGGGCTTTTTCGCTTTGGTTTTACCAATAAAACAGCAAGCCCGGTCAACGCAACCAGCCCAATCCCGATAACTGAGTAAGTAATTAAATTATTGTTTTTAGTTGAATTTTCGCCAGTAGAATTATTTTTTTGCTGATTTTTTAATCTTTGTATTTCAGATCGTAATTTTTCTACTTCTGATCTTGACTTGTCTTCTTTTATTAACTGTTCTAGTTTTCTTTCCTTATTTTTAATTTGGTCTTGTAAATCAATATCGTTAGAACTTACCATCAGATTATTTTCT